CAGTCACCTGGACTCTCTGTCTGGGACCTTGTCTGAGTAGAATCAATGAATGAATAAACTAACCATTACCCTTTAATTCTTTTGAGACGTATTTTCTTCAGCTACAAAACAGGAGCGTGAATAAGACTGGCAGCAGTGAACCAGTTTAAATGGGAGTAAATTGGCAAATTGTCAGTTCACGAAAGAATGTTACTGTCATCATCTACATTTTTATTATTTTAACATATGCAAGGGTAAGAGGAGTTAAGAGAAGCTATGTATTATCGGCCAAATGACCTATAATGCATTTTAAACTTCTTTATCACCACTTGTTATGCATTCAACAACGTTGCCTTTCAATCCACTTGAAAACAATGTGAGTGGCAAGTTGGTTAACCATTCCTCAAGTTTTCTCTTCACCTGTCAGCCCCGAGAAGAGGGACCCATATCCCGGAGACAACCCACGTGCGGGCAACCGGACACCCAGGCCCACTCGGACCGTTTCCTTCATTTCAGGACCCAGGATGAAACACAAGCTCCAACCTCTCAAAGGTGTACTTGCTGAAGGGAAATGCCACAGGGTGGAGACATGGAGCCGAATCTTGAGGGGGTCTCTGAGGTATTCCATCTTTGGTCTCTCTGTCTGAGGCCCAAGGTAACAGTGAGGTAGGGTGGGGGCATTAAGGATTCTTGGAGCCAAGACCCCATTCTTAGAGTTAGAGAGATGCCCAAGAGCCTGGTGGCAAGGGATTTCATCTGACTACAATTACCCTCCGCAAAATGTCAACTTGAAGGACCTCGGCTCAGGACACACAGGCAGTCTCTGGATCACAAAACGTGGACAAATTATCTTTCGGTGTTATGCAAATTTGCCTTTACTTTGAAACACGTGAACGGTCCTGGAGGTATAGTGGTTAAAGCACTTTGCTGTTAAGCAAAAGGTTGGTGGTTCGAACCCACCTAACGCACCATGGGAGAACGATGTGGCAGTTGGCTTCCATAACCACCGGCAGCCTGGAACCCCTATGGGACTGTTCAACTGTATCCTAGAGGTCACTATGGGCAAGAGACCACGCAACGGTGGTGGGTTTTTGATGGAAAGAAACCGATGGCCACTGGAACACATTCTTCATCAGAATCCCCTTCCCCTGCTGCGTGTGCTGCTTTTCCCTCATCCCAGCCTTGAACTCCAGTAAAGACCACAGTACGCATCTCGGCTGACTTTTCTACAGGCTTAACATAAAGAGACACTTAAGAACAGATCTCGCTCATAACCTGGGGGCTGCCTGTCCATTCTCCCTGACCAGGAAGATGCATCTACTTTCAAGGTAGACTTTCTGTAACTAACACGTGAGACACACAGGCGAGCGCAAGTCTATTTTTAGTTTTCCTCTGGCAGAAACCACAAAGGGAGCCTAAACTCACTTCTCCGTGGCTTTGGAATCCTGCAGGCACGTCCAAAGTCATCAAAGACCCAGCCTTTCTGTGTTGATGGACAGGACCCACCAAGGGCTGCCAATGCAGCTGCGGCCGAGTACCCCGCACACGCTTCCAGAAGCTTCAGCCCTTTTGATGCCAAATGGTGCAGATTCCTCCACATCAGAGATACTTGGACAAAGATGAAAGGTCACTAGAAAGGGCACTAAAGATGCATGACCCCCAAAGTAGTGTTTTCAGACAAACTGATCATCTCTTGACAGTATATTGCTTTAGTCCATGATTTGAAATCGTGTTCTAAGATGGATAAGGACAGGGAACAAGATAAAAGACAAAGGTATGAAGCCTGGGAAGTAGCTTCTTTTGTAGGTGAATTTGCTGAAGCTGTACTAAGTAGCAGAATGATTGTGTGCAATTGTCACACAATCTTCCTCTTCAAGTGTTAATATCAGAGATAGTCACTGTTCCGCAGAACAAATGAGGATGATCTTGTTTCAACATGGGTCGAAATGACAGGAGTCACCTATACTGTAAGTATTAGAGAAATAAATTTGGACAAGGTTTGGCATTGTTGAAACAGAAGGTCAAAAACCTGTAGGATGTTGCATTATCAAAAATCAAAGGCAAAGATCCCTAAACTGACAACCTATTTCACTTACACCCCATTAAAATATTATTTTAATGTCTCACCTAGGTACTTTCAATGCCAAGGAACCACAAACAAACAACGAGACGAAAGAAAGAGAAACAACAGAAATCTAGTTAAAGGCAATTTTAATATGCAGATAGTTAGCAGACTCACGAAGCAAGTAATTTCTGAAGTCCCTGAAAATAAGTTCCTTTAGTCAAAAGTGGGAAATGCAAGTCAAAACAACCACGAGATACCGTCTGACACCCACAACTATAGGCCAACTAAAAAAAAAATCTGAGAACAACAAATGCTCTGAGGGTGTGGTGAGGTCGAAACGCTTATTCACTGTTGATGGGCTTGTAAATATCTACAGCCACGTGGAAAACAACCTGGCGATGCCTCAAATAGACGGCAACTGAAATACCATATGGCCCAGCAATACCTTTACCGAACATATACCCCAAAGAAATCAACAGATCACCAACAGATGTAGGCTCTCCCACATTCATTGTAGCACACTTCATACTAGCAAGAAGTTGGAAACAGCCTGAATTCCCTTCAGAAGATTGGACTAAAAACACTCAGGTACATACACACGATGGGATACTCTGCATCCCTCAAACAGAGCAATGAGTCTATGGAACACCTCAAGACAGGAAGGGATCTGGAAGACATTATGCTGAGTGAAGTTAGTCAATCACAAATGGACACATACTGTGTGAGTCCACTATGGCAGGAACAAGCAGCAAACAGCCACAAGCCCAGGGTTGTAGGGTGTGCAGCCTGCTGGCTGGGGGTGACTACGCAGCCTGGTAGAGAGCTTGACTGGTGCCAATGAACCACACACGCTCCGCTCTATGTAAGTATTTTCAAGGTCACTTGGTCGAAGAGCCCCTCACGTCAGCTGGGATCAAATGGTCAAGGGAGGGGAAGGGGATGATGTCTACTGAGTGGCCACCATGTAAACCTATGATGAGGTCCCCTGGACAGGTAGACAACCCTATCAGAGGGATGAGGGATACTGATGGGGAAAACAATGCGGCGGAGGGGAAAGGGTGCAGACATGTCTGGGGGAACACAAATGCATGTCTCTTGATAGAGAAAGTGGGAGGACCGACCCCAGTCGGGAGGAAGAATGATTGAAAATGCTTTTGGAAAGGGGGAGTGTCCCTGGTGGCATGCACTGGATGGGCCACATGGATCCCGGCTTCTAGGAGTGTCCTGGGGAGCGAGGTGGGTGCCTTGGAACATTGGGGCATTGAATCCTGGATCACCAAGGCATACGGCATGCTCCAGAGGCTGCGTCAGTGTGTGCTGAGGAAACTCCATTGGATGAACTAGATTCTACCTCAGACACACTTGTAACCTGAGGACTTGAGTTGGAAAACACGGCATTTGAGGAAGTGGAAGACAGCTGTACCAAGATTGGTGAACTGGTGGTAGGCAGACAAACATGGTCTTGCTACATCAATGCCCTATAAGCTGTTTTAAGATAGATATTACTCCGGCAAACCTGTGGCTGACATTCTCAGTGATTATTATTGTATAATTTCCCTGATAACCCCCATTGTTTGTGTGGATAGCATCCAGCCACGAAAGGATTGACTGTACAAGTGAATAATTCAGGTACTGTGATATGGAGTTAGCCCACACTGGCCCAATATCCCTCTCTCAATAGGGTTTCTAAAAGTTAGTACCAGGGGCTAATCAAAGACAATATGAGTGGAAGATTGTTATGCTTCAGAGGGATGATTGAAAGATTCTTTACAATAAATTAACCAGGAGATTTTGAAAGGGAGCCAAAGTCAGATTAAAAAAAAAAAAATCCAGGAATGGGTTTTGGGGTCCCACTACATCTGAGCTCCAATTTAAGAACAATTAGTTCTTACATCATGGCCCTGCTCCATATTCGCCCTCAGGAAAGGAACACAGATGATAAGGGTGCTATAGCATAGTGTGGTGAAGAAATTAGATGGTGCCCGGCTATGAGATAAATTAGCACCTGAGGTCTGAAAGGTTTGTCTCCAAACAAGCAGCCATCTAAGTGAGATGCCAACCAAGTCCCTATGGAAGAATCACACCACCACCAGTCACCGGAGGATTGTAAATCATATAATCCTGAATTGAAGGAGGGAATAGTGTCAGAGCTGAAAGTGTGAGAATCCAATTTGAATAAGGCTATAGATGGCAATGGGAGTCTAAGACACATGTGTGGGAATTACAAAGGAAATAAGCCTCAGGTGATCTCCCTCTATCCATAATTGAGGGATGGGAGGAGAGCGATTACTAAACAGAGTGCATTAGAGAGATGAATAAACCTGATGAACAGTTAAAACCCTGTCAGTTGATTCCTCCTCAGATGCATGCTGGACCTGATCTGTTTTTCAATATTGTCTGTATTTTTTTGTTTTGTTTGTTCATATTAGGGTTTATCTCAGACGTGTTATGCCATTTGGTGTCAACCTCTTGAATTTGTGGTACCTGTTTTTCTATTTTTTGGTGTATGAAACTCAGGATTGATGAACCTATAGGGATAGCAAGTAGAATAAAGGTTTGGGGTCTTTTTTGGGGGGGGCAGGGTACAGTGGTGGTGGTGTAAAAAGGAGATGATGTCAAAGAGTTCAGGAAGGAAAAGAATGCTTGAAAACTGTGGTAGCAAATGTACAATTCGGCTTGATGTGATTGAAGTATGGAATGATAAATGTATTAACTCCCAATTTAAAAATATATATGTAAAAATAAATAAATAAATAAAAGATCAGCTACCAAAAAAGAAATAAGCTTAACTATAAAATCGTAAGTACCACCAATCACAACATTACTACTCAGATGTTTCCTTTGAAACTAAGCAGCCCAGTATTTATCATGTAGTAGTTTTCAGATAACCAATGGCCTAATGCATTCTGGGAAAGCACCGTGTTGGGGTACTAGTGTGAGAGGTACCACCACTTACTAGGGGATCTGTGCTCTTCCTCGGTGGGCTCCTTCTTCTCTGGCTTGGATAGGCCTTTGATTTTATGCACCAAGGCCCAGAGTTTTCCTGTCCAGGAGGTGTCCTCCTCCTCCTCCTCTTCTTCCTCCAGGGGAACTCCTGTTAAGACACAGATCAGAATAAAAGCGCTGAAGAGTCCAGGATACATGAAACCTCTATGTGGCACAAAGAACTCCAGCAGATGGCTGCTTTCCACTCTCTTCCTAAAGATACAATATTCAGTCTCCTATAGACATTTGCCTACAAAATACCCCTTGGCAAGTTTTCACGAAATTTAGATTCCTGTGCACAAGAACATCAAGTCATTTCAATCTCAAAGCTTAACTTCTTTAACCTGTAGAAACGCAGGCTCTGGAATCAACAGAAATACTTAACATTCAATTTTTTCAAATGAAAAGGTAATTGTTAGACATCAAATGGAGGACAAGTGGTGCGAATGCTCATAATCACTTTAAAAGTCCTCGTATTTCTCAAAACTGGACTTCTGGCTTAGAATCCTGAAGGGCAGAAGTTAAAATATCGTTAGCATTGAATAGCAGAAAAGCTTAAGGGATCCGTGTCTTGCCTCAGCTGGGAGCAGAGCGTCTAAGCCACTCAACTCAAAGTAAACTGAGCAAGACTTACAGAGATGAGTGAGTTCGTGTTATCAGGGACCGATTCCCTTCTCTCGATCTCAGCGAGGTCTCGGTGGTGGAAGGCATTTCAGTCGAATATTCTGTGAGGGACACATCCTATAGCTCCTTTGTAAGTAGTTTGCACAGACTTGTTCTTGAACAATTAGCGTTCTAGCTATTTCAAATAAAATGTAACGCTCTTAACTCTTCTAATGAAGGAATTACAAATCAACTGTTTTGGGGGGGACATTTTTCTCTTGGAAGCTCACCACAGTGAAGGAGAAGATCCTCATGAAACTCGTAGAGTTCTTCCCGGATCTCATCTGGGCAGGGGCAGGTCTCGCCTAGTTGAAAGTTGACAAGCATGTTGATCTTGGAAGGACAAAAAAGAACGGTGTCATTGATTGAATTGTGTCTCCCAAAACATGGGTCAATTTGATGAGGTCATGTTTCTTGGCATTTGGTAATTATTTTCCACTTTATGATGTGATGCAATTACTTTATAGGTTCTAAATCCTAATGTCTTGGATGCTCATGGGCAGCATTAGAAGCAGTCAATCAATCAGAACACAATTTACAGGACTACATTGTATCTTCAGTTGACCTCTTCTGAGATATAAGACAAGCAAGCAGAAATTCTCGGGACCTCCTACCACCAACCAAGAGGAGTTGGGCGTTAGTACATCCATTAGACTAGGGTCCCTTCATCAGACACTTTATAGACCCAGGAGAAAACTGAGACACAGACACCTCACAATCTCCCAGGGAGTCAGAGCCCAAAGACACTGAAAGGAGAGAAAGACCCTCACCCACTCCCCCTGCCGAGCCAACACAGAGAGAAGCTTCTCCCTGGAGCTTGCCCCTGCATTCAGACTTCTATCATCCTACTCTATGAGAGCACACACTTTGGTTTCTTACAGTTATCCACCAGTAACCTTTCCAATACAGCAGCCCGAGGTAAGAAAGACAAATGGCTAGTTGGTTCTCTGTTTGGTCAAGAGAATTCCAAGGTCTTCCTTAGTCAGACACTGTTCTCAAATTTTATTTTAAAGATTCTTGAAAAGATGGTCAAGATTTAACAGTAGCATCCAAGGTTCTCTAGTTAAAAACATTTCCTTAATTGTATGTTAATTTGGAGAAAACAAAGAAGAAAAGGGTACTGTAATCTTAAAGATAAGCACCATTAATATTTTAGTATCTTCCAGCCTTTATATGTACACAGACATACTCTAGACATGATTTTTAAAAGCAGATCTTTCTATTTCACAATCCACTTTGAGTATTTTCTTATTTTGTTTATAATAGCTGCATTGCATTTCATCATATGGATACATAATAATTTATGTAAAGAATTATGCAACATTAATTCCGCTACGGTACATTTAAGTTGTTGCCTTTTTAAAAATCATTACAGTTGGTTTGAACTTCCTATTACAGAATCTTTGTTCACATCACTGATGATTGTCTTAGGAAAATGCCTAGAAGTGAAATGATTGGATCAAAGAGTTTGTACAGTTAATGGCTTTTGATATAAACTGCCCTCTAGAAAGCTCATAACAATTTGCATTATGAAATTTATGTAAGAGTGTGCATAGCTTCACCATCTCCATTACAGTAATGAGAGTTAACACATTTTCAAGTATCTTCCAGTTTAATAGGTGAAAAATATCATCTTGCCATTGCTTTAATTTGCATTTAATTGGTGAAGTTGAATTTTGTTTTTCCACACATTAAGGACCATTTTTATTTTATAAATCTCCTGTCAATGTTGTTTCCCTATATTTCTACAGGGTAATTACCTTTTAAAAATTACCTGGTGAGTGCTTTGTATACCTCTAGATTATCAATATGTTAAATATGCACTATAAATACATTTCACAGCTTTCAATGACCTTGTAATTTTAGTTGTCTCCCTCACCTGCTCCCAAGCCCCCAGGTGTGCAGGGTTTTTTGCTTTGTCAGCATCTATCATTCTTTTCCTTGTTTGTTGCTTGTGTGTCATGGACCCTCTAACAGCCTAGCGAATGCTATGGACTGCTCCCCAGACTGATGTTTTAAGTATACAGATAAAAATAAATAGGATTGTAAAGGGAAACAATTACGTTGAGATACAGTTCAAAAACTTAACAGATTTATGATGTGGGGTATTCACTGCGGCGCAGGGTCATTGAATTGGAATCAACTCCATGGCAGTGGGTTTGATGTGGCTTGTGAACAGCGTATGTACGTCCTTAATTTATTGGGTAGGGGATCTCGTGGCATCTGCACCGTGACTCTAAAGCACTGCTGAATAGACACGGCAATTCAACGTCCTACAAACATTCTACTATGATAAGGATAGAATGTGTGATTCCGCTTAGTGACAAAGTCCGGTGTTTTGCTATTGCCGACATTAATTACTGAAGGAGAGACTAACTACCAAGTTAATGAAAATCTGGTGAAACTAAGCAGTCACTACTTTCCTGTCCACCTTTCTGGACCTCTGAATCCTTTACACGAACCCACAACCCCAGACAAATCAGTGTTAGCAGGGACGGGAGAAGCAATGATTGACAATATTGTGTCTATTGCTTTCTTAGGCAGGATAACCCAATACCAGACAAAAGGAGTGTTCAGTACTTTCAGGGTGCAAAAAAATGTATAATCTCTTTTATTAAACCATGAATGTTGTTAACATTGTTAAAGCAAACAGTCTCGTTGCTATTGAGTTGACTCGCTCTATGGTGACCCTCTGTGTGTGGAGCAGAATTGTGCTACATATGGTTTCCAAGCCTGTGACCATTTGGAAACAGATGGTCACAGGACTTTCTTTCAAGGTGCCTCTGGGTGGCCTTGAAGGGCCTACCTATTGGTTAGTAGTTGAGCATGTAAACCATTTGCACCACCAAAGGGCACTAATGATGTAAGGAAGCACCTTACTCCGAGTGCCTACTACAAGTCATTCTTTGGAAGTAGGCAGAATTATTGGTTGGAAGGGTAGGTGTAATTTTGTCTCCATGCTACCTTACGGTGATTACATGAACAACATATAACGAATGACAGGTTGTTTCTAAATAAAAAATAAGATCCACAGGTTTGTTTTTAGAACCTAAAACTAATTTTGTTACAAAAAGAGTTTTTCTTTCTTTTGTCGAACACCTAGGAAGCAGTGGGCACCCAGCCTGCAGGTAAAACCCTTTCAACGAAGTCCTTTCAGAAGAGAACGGCTCACTAACTATACTTGGCTTGCTTTCTGACTACCATGGGGTTGATCTTAGTCTTGCCTTCCTTTCTACTTCCCTAAACCCTCCAAGTGTTTGCCCTTCCCCGCCCCCTGAATACTCCATGATATAGGACTAGAAGCCCCTATCTTCTCAAAAGACGTCGAAGGATGAAACAGTCATGTAACTTTTGAAAACTCTAATGGTCATAGCCAATTGTCCAATGGATTTTGAGCAGTTTCACTCTGAAATGGCCCTCAGCCCCCCACCCCCCATTGCCTTCATTGGTGTTAAACCTTTACTCATGTAGTGAAACCATGGGTAGGGCTCCTTCTAGAAGGAGGGGTTGCTCATGGCAGGCTGAGTTGTGAAGTTAACATTCACTCTCTCCTTCCATTCCTGGGCCAGTAGCAGCATCTGGATACTTGTTGAAAAATATACATCCAGAGCCTCACCCTACAACAATGAATTAGAAACTCCAGGGGACATCTGTGTCTCATTCAACCTTTCATGTGATGCTAATGTCTGCTCAAGCGTGAGAGTCATTAAAACCAAAGTCCTTGAGTTGTAGACTTCTGAGATGAGTTTGAAGTGACTGATCCAAGGGTTGCTTGAAAGATTTAATGGGTAAGCGAATGGAAGAGGAAGAGCTATGCAGGAGGGTGGGCAAGGGACACAGACATGTCCATGAGGAAGTAGGGATAAACTGAGTCCAAGAGGATTTCAGGAGATGCCAGAAAACACGTTATCATCTCCCACACCAGGTTACTGACAGGTTATAGCACATGGTTTGAGGCAAATGCAAACATTCCTAATACCAGCATTGCTCTTAACCAGTTCATGCCAAGTTGCTTTTGGCACACGATGGTGGCTCCATATGAGCAGAGTGGAACTGCTCCCCGGGGTCTCCTGGCAGCTCTCCAGGCCGGCCTTCCATGGTGCCTCTGGGTGAGTTAGAAGCACCAATTTTTGGGTTAGAGTTGAGGGCTTAACTGTTCGTTGAACATGTGTACTAAGTGACAGGTTTAGAGCTTAAATTCTAAAGCACTTGGTTTGTGGGCCGTTGTGGTCTACAGTGGGAGTCCTAGTTCCATTTTGAGTCTTGAAATACGTTTTCCCTGACTATTGAAACCAACAATGTGGTTAATACTTAGACAGCTTTCAAGCAAGCCTAGGGAGGGTCCCTCAAATAGAGAGTGTTTGATAGTACATTCTCCCTTCTGATAAGCCTGGGAGGGGTCATTTTATTCTCAGGCTTGCCCAGAGAACTGGGGGATCCTTAAAGATTTACCAACAAAAGCTGCATGGTGTCTAAAAGTTGTGGACAAGGTCACTCTGAGTCAGGAAAACATGGTTATGAGTCATACCCTGACCACTATTACCACGCAGTCAAGTGGTTGAAGCCCTAGAACTAATCATGTGAGTTGTTTAAACCTGAAATTTTGTACATATACGAATCATGGTCCTTCTCTACTTTCCCAGGAACTCAACCTGTGACAATGATTAATTGATCTGCCACCAATCATGTCCTCGTGTTTTTTTTTAACCCCCTAATCATATGCAGGGAACTGCACAGCAATGCATCATGGAACTCCAGGTTGGTCTCTGTACTGGGTACATGCTTATGGCTTCCGTCACTTCAGGATGATAGTCTCTGTCCTGTTTACAGCAGGCAAAAGGCTGCAGGGGTCATACCATTTCCTCAAAGACTTCATAAAAGGGTCTACAGAGAATATGTCTCTCACAAGGCATCTCCCTATCTAATCCACTAGCTATACTACATAAGAAAGATGAGGCTCGCTGGCCCTGTAAAGACATATAGTCTTAGAAACCCGCAAGAAGAGTTCTGTAGGTTTGCTCTGAGTCAGAATCCACTAAATGGCAAGGCGTTGGGGTTTGAGCTTGGTATAGCCTCTGTTTGAATTTAGGGCCTTTTTCTCCTTAGCACTCTCCATAAAGGATCACCTCAGGACACCCTCACAAGAACCTCGGGAGGGAGAGACAAACTTTATCCACATCTTACGGATGAAGGGATGGAGTCTTAAGAGAGGTGATGTGTTCATGACCGTACACATCCAGTGAGAGGGAGGTAGAATGCGAGCCCCGCAGTCGAAAGAAAGGCTGTCATGCTAATCATGAAGTCATCCTGCCTTCCCATCTCATTCATAAACAAAAGAGAGATTCAGAAAGTTCCCAGTAAAATAAGGGCGATGACATTCACAAACTGTTGCCAGGGCAGCCTGACAGTCAGTATTTGTGAAGTCTTCAAGCATCATTCTTTGAAGATGACCCTGGTAACCACACATTCACTGTTTCTTCCTCGGCTCCACATAACAAATGATCTACTCTCATCAATCTAAAGGCTCTATTTTGCTACTAGCAAAGAGGGTAAGTTTGCTTGCTCTTTCAGTATGGCCAGTATCATGTGACTCTTAAAAGCCAAGATGTGTGCTTCATTTTTAGGTCAACATATGTTATCAATAGCTATAAACTAGGAAAGTAATTGGAGCGATTTGTGGTAGTCTATTAATATAACATGGTGACATGGTGGTGATGGTGATGACAACAATGTACAGATGGGCTGTTTATGAAATCTGTGTAACATGCAAAGATTTGGTTGCAGAGACAGAAAAGTCACGTCCTCTCAGAGCTATTTTCTCTTCCGAGCTCTTAGGAAGCAGTGGTCCACCAGCCTGCCGGGGTCAGTGAGCGGCAGGATTAAATACAAACTTACTCTAAAAAGGTCCCTGCTGGCATAATAGGAGCTCTAGTCGTTCCTCAGGAGATGAGGCTTTCGGCTCCCAGGAAGATTTACAGCCTCAGAAACTCAAAAGGCTCTCCTCACTATGAGTCAGAATTGACCGGCTCACATTGGATTTGGTTTTGGTTATTATTTTGTAAGCTTCAGAATTGGCTCACTAGGATCCTTTATTCTTTTCAAACAGCCTCCCCAATGGGTCAAGTTGACTGCCAAGTAGGGGAGTGTGGAATGTAAGTGTAAAAGTTCACAAAGAGGGCTCACATGCAGAATTCTGTTCTATGTGGTCCACGGGGTGCGGGGTGGCTTGGTGAGAGGGTCAGCGACAAGGACACATTGGATGAAGATGGTTGTTCAATAACTCTTACAAGTCTGGGCACATTCTGTTGACTGCTGAGTAAAAGAGGTAGTGACTTTTGCACAGGCTGGGCAGAATTGCTTCGAGGTGATGGATCCTTGCAGAGGTGAAAATTGAATCCTAGACACTAATGTGGTCTTTGGCTCACTGATAGGGAGAAAGGTAGGTGGGTGAGGAAGGAAGTCCTGCCCTTTGTGTAACTTAGAAAGGGCA